TTTTAAAACAGACTTCCTTGGGGTACGCTGTAGGGGTGCACAAAGATAACGCTTGACAGTATAAACCCCGTGGGAAAATTTTTGATATGTTTTTTTCCCCCATTCCAAAAAAAGGGGTTTTGAAACCATTTTGATTGGGCCGACCGCAATATTCCCCGAATACCAAATATTTTATTGGGTCCACTATTCGGCCCCGAACGAATACAACAATTTGGGGACACCCCAATTTTTATATTTAATATATATATAATATTATTTTAATATATATTATATTAGCTTCCAAGAACACAGGCCCTTCTTTTGTCCTTCTCAGTGACTTTATACTATTATAATTCTTTTTTTTCGTAAGGTCTTCACCATACACGAGTTAAGAAAAGAAAAAAATTGAATAAAAGTATATGTTGTATTTTTATATATATTAATTTATATAATTTATTTATATATTATTTATATTTTTTAAAATTTTTTAAAATTGGAGGGCCCTTGCCGTTTTTTTCCGACGCAGTCTTATGTTGCGTATGAGGAGGATGGACAGCCCATGGCGAGGCGAGTGTGACTTAGCAAGCCAGCCCTTGTCAGAAAGTCTTTCACAATCGATGATTGATTCCTTTGTGTTACATCGTTTCTTTATTCAGACGCCTTCAGCCCTCATCATTTCTGCATCATTTTTTCCTTCCTTCCCTTCCTGATATTCCCTTTCCCCACACAGCGGTCCTTGACATTTTTTCCACTAGACCACCGCAATACCGGGTACATTCGTGACTCCGCACACATCTTATATGCGTAGCAGGTCGGCCTTGAATCTTTTTCATGTCTTCAATTTCCATAAATCTTCTCTTCTTCTTCGCGTTCACCTCGTGTCGCACTCTGGCGCGCAAGTTCTGGTTAGATAGTCTCCACTACTGAAACATGTAGTCCTGACTCCGAACCTGAGTGTGGCGTTGTGCATCAGTTTGACAGACTCTCTTCTTTTGAAGTACATACTGTTGAGTTCATTGCCTTTATCTTTCTAGATGTCAGTGCTTTTTGCAGGCTGTTGAAATTATTGTTGTCCATTCCTATTCTTAGTGACTTCTGTTTCATTTCTACAATCTCAAATTTATTAAAAACGTGTAACTTGCTATAATTTCTAGCCTTTTAAAGCAGGGTTATTTAATACTAGGCCCGCGGGCAGAATCTGGTCCGCAGATGTCTAGCAAATGGCCCGCAGATCATTGCCATTTGTATTAATAATCTTTTTACTCTGGGTCTCAGGCCTCTGGTCCGTGACGATCCTCGTTTCTAAACTTTCGGCTCTTGAGTAAAACTAGTTGAATAGCCCTGGTTCAGTATTACCAGTGAATCAGTGATGTTCGTTCATTATTGGCCGCTCCTTTCCGTTGTTAATTCACATTGCCAGGTGACAAACTCTGAAGCGGAAACGTGCAAGAGTTTCCCTTCACAAACTCAAAGGGACAAGCGCCACCATTTTGGTCGCCTACTTATCCAGAATTGGTATGGATTTGTTTATTTTGGACTGATTGTTATTGGTTCCATCGCTTTCTGGTTCGTGGAAGTGGTTTTCTACAATACAAAGGTATATTTTAAAATTAAAGGACAGTTGTCGATCAAGAAGGCAGCAATTTGTAAATAGTCAGGGAGACTACTCTATGTCATCGGCAGGTTACTCTAGGTTTAGTTCTTGAGTTCTGCTGTGGAAAATGTATAGATTTGTTAAATAAGTGACAGTGTGTGTATACTTGGTTGGTAATAAATGAAATAAGAAAACTTGCGGAGAATACCGGATGGAAAATGGGTTACGAAATGTGTGTGTAGTTCTTGTTTTGCCATTGATTAAAACACAATGGACGTGGACTCGTCACTGACTGACTTGACTCCTGTTTCCACATATGCCGCTACAGGCACATCTCGTCTTCAATTTCAGTAACACCATTGTCCTGCTCTGACATCAAATGAGTTCTTCCCGCAACGAAAGATTTAGTTATATGACATTACAAATTTAGTAAATAAGTAACTAATAATATAACATTGCAAAAAATAGATACGAATTATTAAATTAACTATTTAATTAACTAATTAATTAGATTTGATTTGTCATGTCAAAAAATGGTCTTTTCACTGTCTTCTATTCATATTCGATCCTTCTGTCAGAAAACAAACTATACGTCATACCAGTCCAGTAAGCCTTCATGCAAGCTATCATACAGTAATTATCCCCTCCTCACCTCACCTTTTATCATACAGCCTTGCTTCATTTGGGTTGGAACAGGCCAGGTTGACTCTGTTTGTTAGCAGCATACAGTGAGTTTATAATGTGGAGCATTATATCATGCTCAGCATTTTCTGTGCTGAGTTGCAGCAATACATCATCATGTTGTTTCCTACACCAAATAACATAAACATATGATAATGATTGTTCGCAAATTCTATTGTGCCCAGTTCGTAATCTGAATATAACACATTGTACCTCTTTAGAGAGGTGATAAAGGGAGTTTTGGGGGAGAACATTTGGTGTGTGTATCCAGCCACCTTTCTTGGATACTAGTTTTTATTAATATCTTAGTCTGTTTGTGGTTTATATCACAGTGTGATTGCATTATGTCAGTGACACTTCTGGCCAGTCCGTCCTGCTTCTTCATTCCCATCCAAGCCATAGTGAACTAGAATCTACTACAGGATAAATTGTTCTACTAAAGAGCCTATAGGGATCAGCTCTTGTGCCAGGTCCACAAACTATGTGTTATTTGAGTTAACACTTGCTTCTAGAACCAGCTTAGCATCACTCATAAAGACCAACCCCTCTGCTATATTTGCTGTGCTCTTGTCTATTCAAAAAAAGAACATGCCACAAGAAATGCATATACCTCTGCTGTGTAGTTGGAGGAAAATGAACCTGTTGGTATTGATTGTTCGTGTCTCATCTTGTTCCTCTCGTACCATGTGGTGTCGGGGTAAAGTATAATTCACTGGGGAGTGCCTGTTATGTGTCTGCATTTTGTTTGTGGGGGTTCCCAGAGACTTTTTAACTGCCTGTGTCCATTGTTTCTGTGGTCAGCCCCGCTTTCAATTCCCATTTGGTTTGTACATCATTCAGCAAGTAAGTAGTGAGACTGGTTTTATTATAGCTGTATTTTACCCAAAAAATGGCGTATATGATGCAAAGCATGTAATCTAAACAGCACCATTCATCTGTGATCTGCTAAATTGTTATGTCATCCCATCAAGCAGATAACATACAACCTGTCATTTTATTTAACTCGTGAGAGGTACATGGTTACATGTGTAGCAAAGAGCGTACTTTCATTCTTGTTTAAATTCAGAAAAGCGCTAATGAAACAGCTGGATTAATGAGACAAGTTTATGAAGATCTATGTTTGTCTCATGCACAGAGATATTCAGGTGATATTCACTAGTTACAACTGGTGTGAGAATCATCACAGATGAAGCTAAGTGAGGGCAACCAATTTCTGTTTTTGAACTCATGGCTAAAGTCATAGAGTGGATACACTAAGATCAATATCTGATGAAGCGGTGATAATGGTATTTATATTGTCCATTTTGGTGCTTAATTGTGGGAGCATAATGAAAACACCATGTTCTATCCTCTGCTACAAAGAAATGTTTTTAAACAAATTCTTTATATCATAATTTAAAATGATGTCTTTTGCATTTCACGACGTGCATGTTTTCGGTCATCAAACAGCATGGCATAAAGAGGAAAGCAGTTTTGTCTTGCCCCCTCAGTTCTTCCACTAACATTTTACAGAGAGTCTCAGTTAATATCACATTTTGTTGCCGGTATCGTCAGTCATACATCAATCAGTCTTCACGTATTTATCCTGGAATTTGGCATTGAGCTCATCATTCTCAACATAAATTGTACGTCCCAGCCTAGCTTTATTTTCAGTCGTTTTCAATTATGAATATCATCTGAATATCTATCTATTCACAGGATAGTCATCATCACCATAAACTTGTCCCATTGGTTCAGCAGTCTCAGTAGCTATTACTGTTTTAAATAGAATTTAAAGCTCGCCCCAGAGGCATATGTAACCACACACTTCTCACTAGTAAAACAAAATGGTGAGCTATTTGTCATCTGCTGGTCAGGCGGTGTTGCAGTTTTGCCAAATCCTACGGAATGGTGCCTGTTTGGATGACATGCTTTGCTTCATGGACAGCATGTTTATTTTGTCCATAATAAAAATAAGTCTCTATATTTAATGACTGGACGGTGTATGTCATTGCTGTGAATATATAAATAAAGAAAGACTGTTTGTTTCAGAAACGCAGTCATGCCGAAAGTAAAAGAGATCAATCATCCTTGTCATTTGCTCAGCCTTCCCTCTGCCAAACGTTTCTGGTGCCGTCACTGCATGACGGTTTTTGAGGATGCAATCACCAGATGGCATCACAGCCGCTCATGCCGCTATGGGGCGGTCAACAACTTTATGAAGCGGCGGGAACTAGAAGTAAAAGCACTTCAGAACACAGCTGTCCTCAACCCTGTTGAAGCTAGGATAGAGCAGAGCATTCAGATGTGTGACTTAGCTACCTCATCCGCCGTAGGCTCAGCGGGGCCTGGTGACGAGCCCCAACTCGTGCCAGTTTCTGATTCCTTCAACTGCCTTATTTGTCACCAGAAGTTTGCTACAATGGAAGAGATGAGAGTTCATGTGAAGTATCCTTGCAGCAGCAGTACAGTCATCACTTCCTGTGCTTCGCATCCTAGACATTCAGTTCCTGTGTTTATTGATGCCATGCCGACACAGACTTCTCAGTGGCAGCTAACTTCACAGCATCAGCAACATGAGATGCATTCAACAGCTACTTTTGTTCACACCCAGTCGCAGCAGTTGTCTAGTTATGACATTGATATTCAATCGCAGGAGGAGGTGGAGTCCCAGTGTTATGACACAGAGGCCACCTATACCAGTACTGGAAGTAGCACAACTGAAACCATTACTCCAACAAACATCTATGTTAATGAACAGGGTGAAACCGTTATTGAGGTAGAGAATTTAGACTTAAATTCCGAGGTTGGTGAGCTTTCTCTGGCTCATCTTCTCACTCAGCTTTCGCAGCAAGGCATTGTGTTCGATAAGACCAGATCGGCAGAGCTTCAGGGCCAGCATGAGGTGACAGTTAGTGTTGATGCATCCAATACTTTCTACACAACAGATGAATCTTCTCAACAGGCTTCAGCCATAGATGAAGAAGAAGGACAGCCTACAGCTGAAGATGCTGCAAACACACTAGCACAGCTAGCCGGGTTCAGAAGTTTCAGTAGATCTGCCCAAATACAATCACACGACGAACTACAGTTACACCCTGACACTCATGCTACTCAGACCTACAGCTACAGTAGTTCAGCTAATCCAAATAGGCAGTACACAACCAAATCCTATCCTCATGCAAATGTAAAATATGAGTATGAATATGCTGATTCACTTTCAGCTTGTGATCCATCCATAGTTTCTACCCAGCAGATAGTTCTTCATCAAGCTATAGAATCTGCCTCACAGGATTACGAAAATGTTAGTCTGGAGCAGTCATCTGCTCAGCAGTATAGTAATAATTCACCAAATGGTGCTTATGCCGCTGAGCTGAACACCCACCAACAGATTGAGCTGGAGAGAGAAGCCGTTGCCAGCATTGAAAGTTTGAAGGAGAACTTTGTGGTGGATGCTGATGGGGCGCAGTCTGTGCTGTTTTCTTACCCCATACAAAGCAGTGAGTCTGGACAGCTAATTCTAAACCCTGCTGTTACCTCCGCCCATTTAATGCACGGAGAGCAAGCTGAATACGTTGTGAGTGGGGAAGACAAATCTGGGAGTGTGGAGTTATATTTAACCTCTTCGTCTGAAGGTAACACATACATCACAGCCTTGAATGCAAATGTTGCATCTGACAGTCAGGAAAATACCCAGCCCACTGTTGCATTAGACGAAGCTGAAAGTCATGTTGAGGAGTGTCATGAATTGCAAGCACAGACAATCTCACTGCAAGATTTTGAGGACTCTGAAAGCAAAGCCGTACAGTTTGTTAGCCAGACATTAACTCCTCAAGCCTTACATTCTGTTGATACTGATCTTGGGATGGGGGAAGTGACAGACTCATGTATTAAGCAGGAGGACCAGGGTAATGAGAGTTCACTGGTTGAGCTGACTTCTATCAAGGAGGAAGTCATTTGTCAGTCATTGCAGGATGCTCCAGGGGATGAAATAGCTGAACAGGCATCTGATGTAGAGGCTACTTTAACCCAGGTTTTACCTACAAACAATGTCAGTGCATAAAATTAGGTGAGCAGATAGTTCAGCTCTGGAAAATGTTAATTTTGAACAATTTGCCACTGTAATATATTGTGCTTCATGATGACAAGATTCTTCTTTACTTACCTTGTATTTATCTCTATATGTGGCTTTCTGCCCCTGTATAATTGTCAGTCTTTATATATGTGTCTGTCTATAAGGGCATCTGTCTGTGTAGATGTTGTGACTGTGTTTTTAGTCTGTGTATGTGTGTTAGGTGTATGTGTTGTGTCTGTGGGTATGTGTTCTGTCTGTAATGTGGGTATATCTGTTTATGTTGTGTGTGTGTGTCATTAATGTGTTCGTCTCTTGGTGTGTAAGGGTGATATGTATGTCTATTTGTTATTAACATTTATACTATTTTAAATTTATGTTATACTATTTTTAGTTTACATTTATACAAAGAATTTTGATATTTGAACATTATATGCTTGATATATAGAATGCAACTGCTGTATGAAAGATGAATGCTTGGAAATTCCAAACATAAGACGGGCCTGCTTGCCAATTTTTCCCCAGATCAATTCAGGTCCTGATGGAACTGGGCTTTCTTCAGAAATGACTACCTAGCCTTAAGTGGATACCGGGTAGAGCTTTGGGAAGTAAAAGTGGCCAGCATGACGTTGATTACATCACCCACCATGTGCCAATTTGTCTCAAATATGTCTAGTCCTATGTGCCCAATACGCCTGAAGACATGGAAAAGGGTCCTTTACTTTCTGTCTGTGTATGTGCTGAGTGGTCTTGAGGTATGGCATCCGCCTCGAGTGCTGAAGGTCCTGAGTTCAAACCCCAGTGAAGGCCGAGATTTTTTCACAAGGACTTCTAGTTATTTCCCCTTGCCTCTGGGTAGTAAGACCGGACGTCTGTGTGTATTGTTGCACACATGAAAAATCCAGTGGCAGTTAAAAATCAACAAAAAAAAATAAGCCTAACAGCACTGCCCGCGCCAAATTTGAAGTTGAAAATCTACTCAAAAGTCATTCAGGATCCTCGCTGGTGCAACAGAGTTTGTGTACTGTGCTGAGATTCTTCAGACTCAGGTTTGAGTTAGAAGTGGAACGGAGCACTTATGGGTTTACACTCATGTGCCACGATGTTGGTTCGTCAACTAAACTTAACTAAATACAAGGCTGGAAAAAAAAATCTAAGATATTACTTTATCTTCAGTTCTGATTCTGAGGAAAAAAATCAAGTAAATGGTAATAACTATCATAGTGAAACCTTACTTCAAGAGGCTGAAGTTAGGATATTCCCTGGCATATGCGACCAGTAGTTCTAATGTGTGTATGTATTAACCAGGATAGAGAAAGGTAAAGGTGAGAAGATCGACTTCATTGCACCGGGTTTAATCCTATATCGCTCAATCTCTCCCCAGAACAGCTAGCTGCTTGCTGAGAGTGTCACGCAGAGCACAACCTCTGTAGTTCTGGCTACGATCCTCAAGGATCTCCATAAAAATTTCACTCATGAACTGAAACGCGCCGCTGTTAACACAAACCCACAACTTTCAGGCGCGCGAGGCAAATGTCTTGACCACTCCGCCACAGAGACCCCTAAGGATAGAGAAATAAACGAGGCAGACCTCGTGGCAAATGAAAACCATAAACTGATTAGAGACATTAGATATAGACAGTCGGTCTTTTAAAAAAAATAATGTTATGATAAGAAATGGACTCTAGAACTTGGTAAAAACTGACAGAATTGATAGAAGAAGAGGAAGTTAATTATTCTTTCCTCTTGGGCCTAGAGCGGTGCATAGGGGCATAGCTCTCCATGTCTGACAGCTCATTGCCATCTGCTTTAGATTTTGGATGTTTGATAGGCCCCTGGTTGAGCCTTCCGTGACAGTGGTTCTACATAGAATCTGTCTTGGTCTTCCCCGTTATCTTATCCATTCATGTGTGCTTGATGGGGATGTTTTGTCTTATCCATTCATGTGTGCTTGATGGGGATGTTTTGTCTTATCCATTCATGTGTGCTTGATGGGGATGTTTTGTCTTATCCATTCATGTGTGCTTGATGGGGATGTTTTGTCTTATCCATTCATGTGTGCTTGATGGGGATGTTTTTGTCTTATCCATTCATGTGTGCTTGATGGGGATGTTTTGTCTTATCCATTCATGTGTGCTTGATGGGGATGTTTTGTCTTATCCATTCATGTGTGCTTGATGGGGATGTTTTGTCTTATCCATTCATGTGTGCTTGATGGGGATGTTTTGTCTTATCCATTCTGAGTGCATGGCTGATGTAGTTACCAGCGGTGCTTTCTTATAAAATTTGATACATTGTCTGGCTGGGTCTATCTAATTTGTGTACTGGATCTAAAATCTGTCCAGTGGAGTATTCTTTTAAGACCTTTGTTCTCAAAATGGTTTTTATTTTTTATCTTATGACTGACCAATACTTTGCAACTCTCACATCTATTTAGAATCAGCTTGGGGAAGGTAAAGTAACAAAGACCTGGATGGCTAAACCATATGGATTGAGCTAGACAAGAACATTGAACTGACCCATGTGCTTGTGTGAGATAACGAAACATTACAGTGTGCGTTTATCAGTGGGGCACATAGTGATGGTGACTTGCCAGGAGAAGACAAAACAAACAAATTATTCAAGAACCAGGTCTTTTCTCTCAAGATCTGGAGTATTTTAAAAATGTAATATAGCAGTTAAGTCACGTCAAGGACCCTTTTTCCAACCCTTCAGGTGTATAGGCCTAGACTTAGATTTTATAGACCAATCGGCAGTTGGTGTTTGATGTATTCACCATCACATCGGCTGCCTTTACATTCAAGAACTTGGCCTGGTACCAATTTAAAGTTGGGTGGACCTTGAGCCGAGGTCATTTTTTTTTTTATTCTGCACCGTTCAAAATTGAACCCATGACCTTCAAATCCACAGGCGAGTGTCTATCCACTAGACCATGTCAATTCAAGTTTAGCAATTAGGGCTAAGAAAATTCTGAATCTAATTGAGAAAAGTTATATAATTCAGGTGTCAAATAACAACTTTCAAGCATTTGTTTACTTTTTCCTCTTTTTCTTCAGCCTCACAAGCTCTTGAGGTTTATTTTTGCAGATCTCCCCACCTCCATCATCTCTGATGAGTCTTCTCATTCCAGTTGGTGACTTCAAGTGTTTATAGGTCTGCCTGTATAATATCTCTCCATATCCTTCTTGGTCTGCCTCATGGTCCTCTCCTGTTGAACTCTTTTGTGTTTGCTTATCCCTGGTATTAGCCGATCATAAGTTTTCAAATTATCCGTGAGGTGCTCTCTTCATGACAAAGCATCCCAGCCATTTGTCTCATGCTTTGATGGTTGCGGGCATGTTGTTTTTACTCCATTGTCCGGTTTTTAAGTGCAAGTGTTTTGTACATCCTTGGCGATCATTGTCGGAGCTGTGGATTGTTTGTTTTGTGCAACACAGCCAGTCACTATACATAGAAATACAGAAGCATGTGACATTAAGTCTGTTGTGTTGGAGTTTATCCTCTTGCGTAAACATTTTTTTTCATCTCATACTTTGCAGACCAGAAAGGACACGAAGAATCAGAAAGGAACTAGAGAGTGAAATTTAAAAGGATGGGAAGGACATGGGGTCAGCTGCACGTGACAGCAAAAGGAAGGACTACATGGCATGAGGTTTTGATGTTGTTAGTTTGGGAGGGGGGGGGATGAATTTTGTTTGTTAGTTATGTGAGGTAAGATGAGCTTCTGTTATAATGGTGGTTAATTTTTTTTTGCACCAGGTTCTATAGCTTAAATCCTTTGTTGTGCCAAGAGTTGTGGCTTATTGTTCCTAGCTGTGTGATGTGGTCACTCTGAACATGTTTGGGTCCTCTGTTGTAGTTCTCTGGTCTAGATTTGGGTTCTGTTTTTCATGCCTGTTTTCCTTGTTTTTGTGTGCTATTGTAGCTGCTTATGTCTCTTGTGGTGATTTTCCTCCAGGGGTACTATGTCAGTCTTCTTTCCTTGAGATCTCGTCCTCATTTGTATCCTTGATTGGTGTCAGTCTCCTCCTGTTGTGGTCAGTCCTATTAAGATTCCATACTGTCCTCTGAACGTCCCCGGCAACTGCAAAGGCTGTAATTAATACTGCACTGATCTTATTGATTTAAAATTGTGGATATCATAAATGCCAAAATTAGTATCAATCAGTTGGCGTAAGCTGGTTGAAGGCTTATGGACCACTCGCGTAAAAAAGACAGAAGAAGAAGAAAATAAAAGAATCTCATACTCTGTTGCACTTATTTATGTATATGTTTTCTTTGTTACTCAGGTTTTTCTGACTGTACTCATTCCACTGTGGAGTATAGCTCATGTTGGCCAAGCGGTGCGGAGGGAGATCCATATTTACCAACATCTCAAGAGATCATGTCGTCTGGTTCCTTGATTCTGCCCCAGCTTTATGTAGTTAACAGATTGTTATCAGATGGTTGGCAAATGTGGAAGAACTTACAAATACATTTGTGGGTGCCATATTTAAATAATGTGGGAAACAAAAATATATATATTTCAGTTTATTGCCTGGCATATTTCATTGTGTCTTATCATATGCATTACTGCAGGATTTATATCAGCATATCTTTTTCCGCTTTCATCTTTAAAAGGGCGGTTGGTAGGCTATGTTTACAGCTATACTGCAATATCTGTGCCTTGTGGCCCAACCGTCTGATTGCAGACAGACCAACATTTTTCACCTTTTACAACAATCTGGTTAAAGGGCAGTGTGTATTTTTCCCCTCCCCAAAATGGGAGCCTATATCCCACAGAGAGATATCAACATAAAATGAAGCATATAGATAACTCCTTTCAACTGCATTTGTCTTTTATGGTAGGAGAGGAGGTGGTGGGTTGGGGCATTCTTTGAGCCCAAGGATTTAGTGCTGCAAGGCTAGTGCAGTCACCATGCACTGCACATGTTTGCATTTTATTTTGTCCACACTCTCCTCGAAAAAACACACAACTGTACTGAGGATTT